ATATGTATAATGCTTACTTTAAACTCTTCTTCCAGTCCTATTTTTACAAGATTTGGTGTGGTACTATTTGATGGCTGCAGGTGTTTTTCTAAGGAGGACACATCTAGTTCTGTGTCACCATAGAGGTAGTACTCAAGTAAGGCTTGATATATGAAGGAATACTGCATCTGTAAAGAAACAGAGCACTCTTTAAATCATGATGCTTGAAACATTTTTAGTTAAATAAAATTCAGAAGCATTATTTTTAAAATAAGTATTTGATTTATTTTTACAATGTTTATAGCCTCCCCCAGTCCAAACATACTCTGGATCCACAACAAAGTGAAACTAAGAACAGGACACTACTTAATCATATTTAGAAAGTAAAAATCAGCAATATAAATCTGATGCATCACAGGTGCCATTCAGTTAAACCGTCCTGGAACAGCCCTGCTCTTGCTAATCCGCAAAATGCCTGTAGAGCAGAGGTTGTTTGTAACTCAAGGGGGGGAGTGTTCCATCAGATGGGGCTGCCCCCTAGAAGCCTGTCAACTGGCCCACAACCTATGAACCTCATGAGGAGGTGGAACCTGGAAAAGGCTCTCTCTGTAGGACCGCAATGGATGGGCAGATTCTATTTTCATATGAAGTTGCCTGACGTATCCCAGCATTATGCTATAAAAGGTTTTAGAGGTGATAATTAACACTTTGAATTGAGCAAGAAACCTACTGGCAACCAATGCAACGAGTTCAGAACAGGTGCATTCTTCACTTGACAGGAGTGACCTAAAACAGATATGGGCAAATTGCAACCTACACTTTTCATGCATGCTTGGTCCTAGTGCACACTGGTGAAATACATAGGCCAAACTGCTCTTTCAGTAGCTGAATTTTCTGCAAAAGTTACAGAAGAGGTTTACTCAAACTTTTCAAAGGTCACATGGTACCCTGAAGTCTCAGATCTACACCTGAGTCTCAAAGACCAACAGTGGTACAGTTACTCCTCGACTTACAACCACAATTGCGACCGGAATTGCCATCACTAAGTGATACAATCATAAAGCGAGATGTCACGTGACCGTATCGCTTAGTGACCACAATCGCAGCAATTCCCCTTGCCATTGTTAAGCAAATTTCACTGGACCCACCCCACCCAAGCCATTCTGGGCTCGGTCCCTCCCTGCCCCGAACCTCAGTAAGGTAAGGGACTGCCTCAGCTCCCCCCACCTGCCTATCTCCTCCCTTATATTTGCTCTTCTGGCTACCCTGCATCCTGCCTTTTGGGGTAGCAAGCAGCCCCAGAACCACGCAGCTCTGGGGCTGCTTGCCATGCCCCAGGAAGCTGCAGCCACCCTAGCCCAGTCCCAGCTGTAGTCGCCCTCGCCACCGTGCCTTCCAAGAGACCTGCAGCCCTGCATTCTGCCGCCCGAGCTGATCTTGACCATCTTGCTCCTGCTGTTGATGAGGCATGTGAAAAAAAAAAAGCAAAAAAAAATCCCCGGAGCCACAGCATGCCAAAAAGCATGCAAAAACCTCCTGGGTGGGGTGGGGCTGGGCTTTTGCTTTGCACTGTGGGTGAAAAAAAAAAAAGCCAAAAGCGGCTCTTGAGCAGCAGTGTGCCAAAACACCCTTTTGTGCCGTGCTTCTGGGTGGGGCTGGGCTGGGCTTTTGCTTCATGCTAC